TGTCACCCTTGAACGCGCTGATTCTCAAAAAAGGTGCATTGAAGGGTCTTGTTGATGCATTGAAGGGTTGCTTCGTGGGTACCCAACATTCCGCTTAAAAAGACCCTTGGATGCAATTGGTCTATTGAAACTTCTGCTGAAGTTAAAGGGTCTTTGTACTGACAATGGCAAGGAAGTGGTGTTGCTGCAGTTGGCGCCCGAAATCTCGACATCCGTCTGGCCAGCCTGACTTGATTGAGTGCAGGGTCTGGTACATGGCGGTCATAATGGCTTGACAGTCAGCGACCCTTGGATGCAACCTTGTGACCCTTGACTGCGTTGATTCTTAAAACATGTGCATTAAAGGGTCTTTTGGATGCCTTGAAGGGTTGCTTCGTGGATGCCTACTAACATCCAGCATCTTTGAGGGACCCTTGGATGCAACCTTGTGACCCTTGAATGCGCTGAATCTCCGAGAAGGTGCATTGAAGGGTCTTTTCGATGCATTGAAGGGTTGCTTCGTGGGTGTCCAACATCCAGCATCTTTGAGGGACCCTTGGATGCAACCTTGTGACCCTTGAATGCGCTGAATCTCCAAAAAGGTACATTGAAATGGTCTTTTACCCTAAACCCTAAACCAGCCTAAACCCTAAACCCCTAAACCCTAAACCTTAAACCCTAAACCCGGAAGCATTGAAGGGTTGCTTCGTGGATGCCCAACATCCAGCCATCTTTGAGGGACCCTTGGATGCAACCTTTTGACCCTTGAACGCGCTGATTCTTAAGAGAGGTGCATTGAAGGGTCTTTTCGATGCATTGAAGGGTTGTATCGTGGGTGCCCAACATCCAGCATCTTTGAGGGACCCTTGGATGCTACCTTGTGACCCTTGAACGCGCTGATTCTCAAAAAAGTTGCATTGAAGGAATTTTATCGTGGGTGCCCAACATCCAGCAGCATCTTTGAGGGACCCTTGGATGCAACCTTTTGACCCTTGAACACGCTGATTCTTAAGAGAGGTGCATTGAAGGGTCTTTTGGATGCATTGAAGGGTTTTATCGTGGGTGCCCAGCCAACATCCAGCAGCATCTTAGTCTTTGAGGGACCCTTGGATGCAACCTTGTGACCCTTGAACGCGCTGATTCTCAAAAAAGTTGCATTGAAGGGTCTTTTCTATGCATTGAAGGGTTGCTTCGTGGGTGCCCAACATCCCACCTAAAAGGACCCTGGATGATGTAATTTCACTGTCACTGCTGATAGGCAACCCAGTCGCTCCCCGTGTTGCCAGGCTGCTTTGGTGCCCACACCGGCGCCAGCCGACGCTCCGACTTTGTGGCCTGAGTTGCTGAGACTGGTTCCTAGTCATAGGTTCCCAGGCTCCCAGGCTCCCAATATTTAAGATTTTAAGGTTACTGCCAGGCTCCATGGTTGTTCGCCTGGGTTCGCCTCTGCCACCGTCATCTGTCCACCCTTTAAGGGCGGACAGATGACCGTGGCAGAGTCGCTCAGGGAGTCTGGGGACATGGAAACCTTGCCGGTGGCCGTTCCGTGGATGTTCACTGCCGGTGCATGCAACAGAGCAGCAACAGACTTCAGGCCCCAGGCGCCACACGCAGCATCAATCGAACCAGGTGTTTCCACTGGAAACACCTGGTTCGAATTGATGCTGCGGGGAATGCACGGCGTGCACGCGGAACATCAATTGCAGGTCCAGGCTCAACGGCTTGGAAAATTAAGCATGCGCCGTGGAGTCCTCATCGTCATCATCGATCATCAATGTCATCAGGTTCCCAGGCCCGTTCCAGGTTCATGGGCCGCAACATCATCATCACCATCATCATCATCATCAGTCATCTGAGTCATATGCGAGGCTTCCAGGCCCAGAGGGCCCAGAGGATATGCGTGCCACGGGCTTGTAGAGTTGACTTGCAAGTTGTAGTCCAGCCGGATTGGTCTGAGAGTTTTAGGTGTCACAATTTCTGGAGAAAAACAGTGTGGAAGCGGCAGAGATTCTGCCGCTTCCGCGCCGTCCCAGGTTCACGGGCATGCAGGAGAGCGTGTCGAAGCCTCGAGGGTTCTCCTGCATGCCGTGCCCGTGTGGTATCGGCTTCCAGGTTCAGCTCGGCTAAAATAAGTTTTCCTAACCAGTCCGGCTTCGCGACTGTTGCCGAATTCATCTGCGGCTGAAGATCTGCCGCAAGACTCCCTCCCTGGCTGGGCCGAGACATGTGCCGTTACATGACAATCATCACGAGGCTCGGGAAAGGTTCGGTTCCTAGGTTCCCAGGCTCCCAGGTAGAATAGTTCGTTGGGTTGCCAAGCTCAGTCTGTTACCCTCAGTCAGGGAGTCTGTGTTCGGCAGAACTTTGAATTGCTCCGCTGGCAACCCAGCTCCCTGGGCTGATAAAATATAATAATAGTTCCGTGGAGTCCTCATCGTCATCATCTGTCATCAATGTCATCAGGTTCCCAGGCCCGTTCAAGGTTCATGGGCCGCAACATCATCATCACCATCATCAGTCATCAATGTCATCAGGTTCCCAGGCCCGTTCAAGGTTCATGGGCCGCAACATCATCATCACCAGCACCATCATCATCTTCAGTCATCAGTCGAGGTTTCCAGGCCCAGAGGGCCCAGAGGATATGCGTGCCACGGGCTTGTAGAGTTGACTTGCAAGTTGTAGTCCAGCCGGATTGGTCTGAGAGTTGAAGGTTTCACAAGGTTGCTGGGTTCTAACACTCTTTGCCTGTTAGCCTGTTCCCAGACACGGGCTGCAGGAGAGCGTGTCGAAGCTCGAGGTGTTCTCCTGCCAGCCCGTGTGGTATCGGCTTCCAGGTTCAGCTCGGCAACCGCAAATGATTAAATTTATTAAGTTTCTCCTAACCAGTCCGGCTTCGCGACTGTTGCCGAATTCATCTGCGGCTGAAGATCTGCCGCAAGACTCCCTCCCTGGCTGGGCCGAGACATGTGCCGTTACATGACAATCATCACGAGGCTCGGGAAAGGTTCGGTTCCTAGGTTCCCAGGCTCCCAGGTAGAATAGTTCGTTGGGTTGCCAGGCTCAGTCTGTTACCCTCAGTCAGGGAGTCTGTGTTCGACAGAACTTTGAATTGCTCCGCTGGCAACCCAGCTCCCTGGGCTGATAAAATATAATAATTAAAATTTAATCATGAATTTTGAAGCATGTTCCGTGGAGTCCTCATCGTCATCATCTGTCATCAATGTCATCAGGTTCCCAGGCCCGTTCAAGGTTCATGGGCCGCAACATCATCATCACCATCATCAGTCATCAATGTCATCAGGTTCCCAGGCCCGTTCAAGGTTCATGGGCGGCCGCAACATCATCATCACCATCACCATCATCATCTTCAGTCATCAGTCGAGGTTTCCAGGCCCAGAGGGCCCAGAGGATATGCGTGCCACGGGCTTGTAGAGTTGACTTGCAAGTTGTAGTCCAGCCGGATTGGTCTGAGAGTTTAGGTTTCACAAGGTTGCTGGGTTCTAACACTCTTTGCCTGTTTGCCTGTTCCCAGACACGGGCTGCAGGAGAGCGTGTCGAAGCTCGGCATGTTCTCCTTCAGCCCGTGTCGTATCGGCTTCCAGGTTCAGCTCGGCAATCGCAAATGAAATTAATTAAGTTTCTCCTAACCAGTCCGGCTTCGCGACTGTTGCCGAATTCATCTGCGGCTGAAGATCTGCCGCAAGACTCCCTCCCTGGCTGGGCTGAGACATGTGCCGTGACATGACAATCATCACGAGGCTCGGGAAAGGTTCGGTTCCTAGGTTCCCAGGCTCCCAGGTAGAATAGCTGGGCTGAGACCTGTGCCGTGGCATGACAGTCATCATCGAGGCTAATAGCATGCCCCGTGGAGTCCTCATCGTCATCATCTGTCATCAATGTCATCAGGTTCCCAGGCCCGTTCAAGGTTCATGGGCCACAACATCATCATCACCATCATCAGTCATCAATGTCATCAGGTTTTCAGGCCCGTCCAAGGTTCATGGGCCGCAACATCATCATCACCATCATCATCAGTCATCAGTCATATGCGAGGCTTCCAGGCCCAGGGGGCCCAGAGGATATGCGTGCCACGGGCTTGTAGAGTTGACTTGCAAGTTGTCTGTAGTCCAGCCGGATTGGTCTGAGAGTTTCTAAAAGGTTGCTGGAGACTAACACTCTTTGCCTGTTTGCCTGTTCCCAGACACGGGCTGCAGGAGAGCGTGTGCAAGCTCGGCATGCTCTCAACCGCTACTCGGGAAGCCGGACTGGTTAGGAGAAACATCATCATAATATGATGATGCTGCTCCTCACCAGTCCGGCTTTGCGACTGTTGCCGAATGCATCTGCGGCTGAAGATCTGCCGCAAGACTCCCTCCCTGGCTGGGCTGAGACATGTGCCGTGACATGACAATCTGACAATCATCACGAGGCTCGGCAAAGGTTCGGTTCCTAGGTTCCCAGGCTCCCAGGTAGAATAGTTCGTTGGGTTGTCAGGCTCAGCACAGGTCTCAGCCCAGGGAGCTGGGTTGCTTGCGGCGAGTCTTGTTCCGTCGCAGATTCAGTCGAACACAGACTCCCTGACTGAGGGTAACCAGTCATCATCGAGGCTTGGAAAATTAAGCATGCCCCGTGGAGTCCTCATCGTCATCATCTGTCATCAATGTCATCAGGTTCCGAGGCTTGTTCAAGGTTCATGGGCCGCAACATCATCATCACCATCATCATCATCAGTCATCATCATATGCGAGGCTCCCAGGCCCAGATCCCTTAAAATTTTTCGGGAGGGTCGACGCACACACCAAGTTATTATTAAGGCCCTTACATTAATCCCTGTACTCTGGTTATTCCGACAACCCCGTAGTGTGACTGCACTTCTTGTAAGGACCATTGATTTCAAGGTCACCCACATCACTCCCTGAGTCTAAGTGCTTGCCACCAGGTACTTCCCAAATCCGGGTCTCTCCAAAGAGTACGGCTCCGGCCCCTACACCCAAGACGACGTCTCGGTGTTCGGCGCACTCATGACAGAGGCACATGATTACGCCAATTACACTGGTAGACCCCTGTCGCCAGCCGTCCAAAAATAGAATCCCGAATGATTATGAATAGAAGAACTTCAGGGGGATTGGCCAGAGGAGTCCTTGGTGTGAAGTTTTTGGTGGAGAGTTATGTGCTGGTAGATACGACGGGCCATGTTCACCAATTTCGTGAGGCCTGGGGCACCTTGATTCTCGCCTTCGTCATCTTCGGCATCACCAACGGCCGAAACAAGGCCGTCAAGCTGCCAAATTCGAACTTGAAGGGTCAGCATGACCGTTCCTTGCTTATCGATCGTCTATTCCAAGGTAAGTTGAGGTTTTGGGGGTCGTGGTGGTGGTGGTGGCCCTTTGTCGTGGTCGGGACAGGGACAACAGCATTTCAAGAAAACAGCTTCTGCTGCATTGTAGAACTCCAAGTTTACTTTTGCCCGGCATCGATGGAGCACTAGGGTCACTAGGGCCTTCAATTTATTTTTGGACCGTAAAACCGCCAAAACAGAAGATTGCGGAACCTGCAGATGCTTTAGTCGAAAGTTCCCCGTCCGCAAACCACGAACGCCACTTGCATTCTGGCGGGATGCATTTTTGAAAAGCCAGGGCTTGTGGCTCGCATTTGCCTTAACTTTAGCGAAGATATGTGTACATGATGAATCGAACCATGGGGAAGGGCCGTGACTTGCACAACGAGCTTGTCTCTGACAGCAACACAGAAGCAACACGACATGCTTCGAAGCGGATGTGCCGAATGGCAAAGTGAGCAAGTTGTGTGCTTACTTAGACTTGGAGTCGGTGCCTCTGCGGCAGCACGACACGATTTCGCGGATGTATTGACATCGCGTTGTGAGCGAAGTTGGCTTTGCAGGTGCTTGGCAGCGCGGAGCGCGTCGGCGTTCCCTTCGTTATCGGCATGACGGTGGCCGTCCTCCTCCCGCTGTATGCACCGATCACTCAGGCATCCACTTGACGGTTCAAGTCTCATGCTTGAATGGCTTTGATTGCCCTTTCCAAAGCCATGTTATGCGAGTTTGGGACTGGTGGTGGATGTTAAGTAGATGTTATCTCAGTAAACACAGCTTGACAGAGGAGAAGTCTGGAGATCGCAGCTACTGAGTCGATGTTCATCGTTTCTTACTCGAAATACTCATCACCGACATGTGATTCTTAGCTGTGTTAACTAATGGGAACCGCCCCGGTACCCATCTGCATGCACATGGTACATGCTTGCCCCTTTGGCTGATAACGTCGCACTGCTGACTCGGTCAGGCTGGGTGGAACCCGGCGCGAGACTTTGGCCCTCGCATCGTTGCGGTGCCTTGCAAACGGCTTTGGAACACCCGACAATGTCTACTCCTGTGTAATGCCAAGCATGACAACGCGCGGTGCATGCAAAGTTTCGGGGCATGTGTCCCAGTTAATTGTTGGACTCGTCATCCGGATTTGCTTCGGAAGTTTAGGGTCAGGCAGGCTGCGCGAAGCAGAACTCTGCCGCTGGTAGGAGTTAGATTCCAGAAGCCGTCAACTCTACAGCGGGCATAGACATTGAAGCCCAACTCTCGAAACACTAGGGAAGTCTAAAGAACAAACTGCAGCACAAGCCCCACCGAACTTGCAGCTGAGTCTGTGTGTACACCCCGAGCACTTCAAGTTGCCGGAGTCCATGGCATCCCCGAAGCTGGGGTGATTGGATTCGCATGTACGCACAGTAGAAAGCCGATGATCATGCCGTATAGAAAGTCTTACTTTTGGTGGAAGTTACTGGTATGGGCAAGGTTGCTGATGGTAACGGTGGCAGTGGAAGCAGCAGCAACGGCGCACGCAATGCACAGCAGCAGGAGGACTAGGAAGATGACTGTTTGCAGGTGCACGTGTCAAGCTCAAGCAAAGCAAGCAATAGAAGCCAGGCCCAAAATCTGAACGGCCGTCGTTCCTGGCAGGCCTTGGGCGGATGGGGAGATGTGGCCATCCCTGGTCCACGCAGTGGCTTCTGGACGCTGGGTCTTGACTTTGGTCTTTGTACATTCAAAAGGGTTATGGCGTTGAGGCGAGACTTGTCAATGGCATGTTGATTTGTGCAGCTTCAAGTTTAAGACTCGCAGATGCCTTCATTTCTTTTGTACTCGACTATCTTGCTCACATACATATATGTAACTGCACGCACCCATAGACACATAACGTACATGTACATGACATGCACGTGTATGTAAGTATGTAACTAAGGTTGTATTAAGGTTTTGATTTTACCGTATGTATGTATCTGCATGTGTGTCTTAATAGCTGAGTCGATGCACTTTACACTTTTTGGGATAACATTGCCAACTATAAAACTAAAAGTGTAGGCTTTTGGGGGGCTTATGAACTCAGCAACTAAGGTGTGCATGTATTAGTATGTATGTCTGCATGTTTGTGTGTCTTTAAGTTTGGATGGATGGATGGATGGGTGGGTGTATGGATGCATGTATGCATGCATGCATGGACGAATGCATGGATGGTTGGATGGATGGACGGATGGATAGATGGATGTGCGTCTCGATTCGGATTCGGGGAGGCAGATAGGAAGTGTTGAGGGTATCATGGGGGCGGGCAGTTTCATTCTTAGACTGGGGCTCGCCACATAACTGATCACGCTCTGAGCTCCGAACAGTCCCCAAACCCGAAGCTCGATGCCCAGCTCAGCTAAGGATTTACATTGCGGCCAGGCGGCAAGAGCCAGCTGTTGCACCCCCCCAGAATCTTGCAGAGTCTATGGAAAGAGGAGGCATAGGACCAGTGAACTTGCGAGTATGTGTGTGTATATATATATATATATATATACATATTCTGAGCATCTTTGTTTGTTTGCGTGTGGTCTTCTCGGCAGTGGAGAACTCGCGCTGATCGTTGGGAAACCCGCTTGAAGAACAGACATGCCTTACCCACAGGCTGTCACACAGCTTGCGCACTGCTAGCCGGGTGTGGGGCACGCCGCCTGGGATGGAAGATCCTTCTAATACTAGGAGGACTCGTCCGGGGTCCTTTGGGGCCAACGTGCAGCGATATGCTGTGCATGACAGTGGGGCGATGGGCTAATGCGCCCACTGGGGGACTCCCACGGCACAGATCGCAGCTTGAGAGTCTCGGCTTCCGCCTTGCCGTGCCGACTGGCGGTGTGAGAAGGGGAGGCTTCGAAGTTGTTTTCAATCAAGGAGCGGCGCGAAGATGTCAGGAGGCATGCTTGACCCATTGGTGTTGGTGTCGCGAGCCGTGCATGCGTCTGCACGGGACCTGCTTGTGTGGCTCAGATAACTTGTGGATAGCATGACTGCCTCACATGTATTTGTCTAACCTCGATTGGCTGGGCGATCTTGAAGAATCCGCTTGAAGTGTCCACAAGCACAAATAGAAGCACACTTGCGCTACAGTACCTACAGTCAGGCAACAGCTTCTGCCTTGTTAACTCTGAGCGTAGTGTGGGGCAACCTACAGCGAGCTGTGACAGTGTGGCGATGGTCTGGTGCGCTCATGGAACATCTGTGCCTGGAAGCTTCTTGCAGTTACGGACGTCCGAGAGGACGAATGTGGACCTGCTTATGTCACGGCATATCTTGAGTAACCCGCCGTCGCTAGCGCGCATGGTTTCTGAAGCGTCGGCAACAGATTCCGGGCTTGTCATCCTTACAAGCTTCTGTCAACGTCTACGAGGCTGTGGATCCTCTGCATCGGATCCAGCTTCACATGACATCACATTTTGATTTTCCAGCACACCATCGCTTGTTGCCATTTGGCCGCGAACCTCGTGCTGTGGTCTGTTCTTCTCGCAAACCTGCTCCCCAAAGCCCTAAACCAGGCCACTGGAAAGGAATAACAACTGAGAGTGAGGGCTTAGGCCAAAAATGGCCTAAACCCTAAACCCTGAGCTGTAGTGCTTGATGTAGTAGTGGTGATTGAGCACTTTGGTCTTAGATAGGTTCTGGTGCTTCCCTTACATGTCGTCTGGGAATCATTTCGGGCTCCTAGGATCCCGCGTTTTCCTGGAACAGAGTTCTCCGTTGGGGTTTTGGGGTGAAGGTATTTCGGAGTTGTTGCTTTTAGTTTTGTCATTGTTCCCCATTTCCTGTTGTGTTTCTAGCTCCGTTTTAAGAGGACAAGTTTTCCGTCAATGTTTTGACTAACGACAGCATATGAAAGAACGACATCCACGAAATCACTGCCAAATGATACTTGTCACAAGAGCCGATGCGAAGCAATACGCCCGAATAACTCGAGCCGAGACGTTTGTCCGACTTTCGGGGGTGGTTTTTGCTGTTGATTGTGTGCCTTCGCATGCCTTGTCCTTCGGCACGCCTTTCCCTCACTTGGCAAACACCGTCCTGCTCGACGTTTTCGCCTTGTTGCACATGTTCCGCTCTTCCGAGGCTTCTGATTTCTGCTGTGTTTGTTTTTTGCACCAAACACGACGTCACGTTTTGTAGTACTGTTTTGGTTGCGACTGCGTCCGAGCATCCAAAAACGTGGCCTGCGTGTCATATTCCTGACTTCCTGAAGGCATGTTTTCTGATGTCTTGCACTTTGCGCTGTCTGCGGTTTTTTCGTTGGTGCTATTGTCCGTCATGTGCTGTGCTTGGTCTTTGGGGATGGCGGGGGGGTGGGGGTGGGGGGGGGGGGGGTAATGACGTTCTGTTTCACAGGCAGCCTGGGGCTGCAATCCTAAACTCAACCACAAACGACGAAGGCGTAACGAACGAAACGACGGCAGGAGGAGGACGTGCCGCAGGCACTCACGCGCAGCCAAGGGTTTGGCATGTTTGCTACTTTGACCAGGACTTTTACTTGTGAACTGCGACAATGCCACTCCAACCTTTGATATTCCAAACAATACTAATTATAGTACTTGCATCCTTGTGTGTGATTTCGCGGGTGTAGGCGTGTGCTCCCGCAGAGAAACTGCTGTCAGTGACAAATGAAAATGGTTGACATTTGTTGCTGTCGTTTTCTGCTGTTCCTTCTGACAGCCTGCTTGTCGAGTGAATCAACTCAATGAGCGTTAACGACGTCGTCGAACCTATTGCTGCAGACCTTGCCAGGCTTGTCCGAGAATGAGTGTCAAAAAATGTGGTACTTGAAAACAACTTATGGACTGCTACGACCTGGGCCGGGCTTCCTGAATCATGGACGTTTCACACACCATCGTAGCCGCAATCGCCGAAGCAGTGATAAGACTAAGGGCAGCAGTAGTACTACAGAATCGGCATAGCCCACACAACATCAAACACCGAGTGCATTACACACACCACCGCATCAGCAATCGCAACAACAACAAGTCATCACCACACACGAAACAAGGTCACTATACGTACCATCCCAAACCCTTACCCATAAAAGATTTTTCCCAGTAGTTAAAACGATACAAAACCAACCCCGAAAGTCAACCCGCAGGATAAACTAGATGGAATCGCACGTCCAGATCTCATAGTATGCAATATTTGCTGGACAGGAGGATGAGGAGGAGCACCGCGAAAGTGCTTGTGTTGAAGTTGCAGTCTTCGTGGCCGAAATTGTGAGGCAATGAGAAAGCGCACGTCCAGGCGCAACAGTATTGGAGCAGTCGTTTTCCCCGAACTGACAGCCTTGAAAAGTCCAGAGGCACAGGAAAGCTGAGGAGAGTATCCGAGTATCCGAATCTCGGAAAGTCAAAACCTTAAGCCATAAACCAGAAACCCTGAAACAGGGACAAAGCACCCGTTTCACTCAGCAGACCTCGACCAATATTCCTCGCCTGGATTGTTCGAGTGTGAGCGCCGAAACCCAGAAGCAGCGCACCAATTCGGCCCAGGTCGGCCCTTGCCTCGGCGCGCCAATCGGTGCCTTCATGGCCGAGAAGCTGCTCTGGCGCAAGGTCGGCCCGAGCGGTTTTTGGGGTCCGGAAGTGCCGCAGTCCAGGGAGTAGTAGGGTTTAGAGGTTTTGGGGTTTAGGGTTTAGAGGTGTAGGGTTTAGAGGTTTAGGGGTTTAGAGGTTTAGGGCTTAGGGGCTAAGCGGTTTAGGGTTTGTGACGTTGCAAGCCAGTTGCAAAAGGGAGGGAGTCAGCTGTCCGGGCGTGACGTTGCAAGCCAGTCGCAAAAGGGAGGACCTACGTCCAACTCCGGGCGAAGTGGCAAGCTTGTTTCACAAAAAAGGAGGACCTGCGTCAGAGTTTAGGGTTTAGCGCAAGAGCTAGGATAGGGTCCACGGTGTAGGGTTTCCCGATTGCCGTAAGTGGCTCGCTCGTTGACTGCTCTTTTCACGCTAGGGCTGTGGATCCGCTTCGTAAACTTTGACGGATGTCATTTTCCGATGTCCTCCAAGAATCCTCGGTCTCTGGTTTGGGTGGACAGCTTCTTTTCGGTCCAGTCTAGTTAGTTCCGTTGACGCGTGCTGCTACGGCTTCAAGCTTGAAGGTCCCGGTGCTATGCCCGCACCCGAAATCCTCAGTCTCATGTAGCTCCAAACCCAAAACAACCGTGAGAATCCAAACCCTCATAATGCATGAACTTTTCTCTTGGAGAGGTGGCGAAGTGAGTGC